TGCTGACCTTGGATCACAGCTAAAAACAAGAATAAAAAGAATGCTTTCAATTGATAAGGAAGGACTCATCCTGAGGTGGGTACCTAAAAGTCCTTAATCTGTTTTGCAGGACGGTCATGTGTGGCATTTAGATTCTGGCTGCTCAACCCACATGACCGGAATAAAACAACTACTGAGCAACTACACGAAGTGCTATGGAGGCAATGTGAGATTTGGGAACAATGCATCATCTCCAATCTTAGGATACGGGGATGTCATCTGTGCAAGCGTGACAATAAAGGCCGTGTCATATGTGAAAGGGCTAAAGCATAATTTGCTAAGCATTGGACAGTTCTGTGATAGCGGTTTGGAAGTGAAGTTTATAGCCAGACAATGTTGTGTGCTGGACAGGTTTGGTAAGACATTATTGACATGTACAAGAAGATCCAACCTGTACACCATTGATCTGAAGACTGTGCAATCCACTTCTTCCATATGTCTGTTGTCCAGAGCTTCCTCTGAACAGAACAATCTATGGCACAGACGCTTATCACACCTGAATTTCAAGCATCTCACCACATTGTCCTCCAAGAAACTGGTGAAAGGGATGCCTCTTTTGAAGACTTCCGCTGATGTACATTGTGATGCCTGCAGTCTAGGCAAAATGAAGAGGAGCTCTCACAAGTCAAAACCTGTCACATCCTCCTCCCGTCCTTTACAACTGCTTCATTTGGATTTATGTGGACCGATGAGAGTCCAAAGCATAAATGGACGCAAATATACACTGGTCATTGTGGATGACTTTTCTCGGTACACATGGACCAAATTTCTACGGACGAAGGATGAGACAACTGAAATAATCATAACCTTCATCAGGACGATACAGAATTTTCTGCAGAAGAGTGTGGAGATCGTCAGGACAGATAATGGTACAGAGTTCAAGAATCAGTCTCTTGCTGATTTCTATGAAACTCAGGGTATCACTCAGCAACTCTCTGCACCAAAAACACCACAACAGAATGGAGTTGTTGAAAGAAAGAATAGAACGCTTGTTGAAGCTGCACGCACCATGCTTATTCAATCAAAGCTTCCTCATTTCATGTGGGCCGAAGCTATCAACACTGCGTGCTTCACTCAGAACAGAACATCAATCCATAAGCGCTTCAACAAAACACCATACGAAATTCTCTTCAAAAGGACTCCTGATATATCATTTTTCAGAGTGTTTGGCTGCAAGTGCTTTGTTCTAAATTACAGAAATGAAAGAAGCAAACTGGATCCGAAAGAAATAGAGGGAGTATTCATTGGGTACTCTACACAATCAAAAGCTTACAGAATCTACTTGCGCGATCGCAGAACAGTCATTGAGAGTGTCAATGTAACATTCTATGAGATGGCTGACTTTGCCTCTGAACATTTCTTGATAAAACCCACTCTCTGCCCAAAGAAAACAACCTGATGAAGCAGAAGCAACAATGCAGACAACGGCTGAGCGTGCAGTGTTAGACTCCCTATTTGAACACTTCTATGAGAATCCACGCACCGCCAGCCCACAACAATCAACAGATGCTGCACAATTACCATTCATGCCTGACCTCACTTATGAAGAAGCCGATACACCTACTCCATCTGATCATGAGGATACTGAGGATCACGGCATTATAGCAACACAAGCAACTTCACCACCACAAGTTCAAGAAATACCAGCACAAGCAAATACAAAACCAGAATCAACCACTGTGCACTCCACTCCTCAACAAACCACACCTACTACTTTTGAGGACCCGGATCACCCCATCATAACTCCAATCCCTCTTACTCATGAGCGGAAATGGACAAAGGCACATCCTGCGGAACACATTATTGGGAATCCGAGTCGTGGAGTGTGCACAAGAACAGTTACGGCAAATGAATGTCTTTTCTCCTGCTTCATTATCCAATCCGAACCATCTAAAGTTACTGAGGCATTGACAGATCCGGATTGGGTAATTGCCATGCATGAAGAAATAAATCAGTTTGAAAGATTGGACGTGTGGACCCTGGTGCCTCGACCCCCAAAGAAAACTATCATCGGCACCAAGTGGGTATTTAAAAATAAGAAGGATGAAGATGGTGTGATCATAAGGAACAAAGCCCGCCTGGTTGCAAAAGGATACAATCAACAAGGGATAAGGGTCAGTTTGGTCCTCGAAGTTGCAAAAAAGGGGTCAAATAAGTCCTTATATAGAAAATTCTATCCGGACGTGCCATTTGAGGTGGCTCCCGGTGGAATTTTTTGATTAAATTTTTTGAGAATCTTATTCATTAAGTCTAGTTTACTCATACCAAATTTCAGATAAAAATTCAATCGGGAAGACATTCAAATGAATTCTTGAAGATAACTGTGCCGTTAAAAGCGCAGTTATCTTCAAGAATTCATTTGAATGTCTCCCCGATTGAATTTTTAGCTGAAATTTGGTATGAGTAAACTAGACTTAATGAATAAGATGCTCAAAAAATTTCATCAAAAAATTCTACCGGGAGCCACCTCAAATGGCACGTCTGGACAGAATCTTCTATATAAGGACTTATTTGACCCCTTTTTTGCAACTTCGAGGACCAAACTGACCCTTTACTTCAATCAACAAGAAGGAATTGACTACGATGAAACCTTTGCACCAGTGGCTCGAATTGAAGCAATCAGATTGTTCCTTGCTTATGCTGCACATAAAAGCTTCACCGTCTATCAAATGCATGTGAAGACTGCGTTTCTGAATTGAGAACTGAAAGAAGAAGTTTATGTGGCGCAACCAGAAGGGTTTGTTGACCCTGAACGCCCACATTCTGTCTACAAGCTGAAGAAAGCCCTGTACGGACTGAAGAAGGCACCGAGAGCCTGGTATGATGCACTATCTAACTTTCTTGTGCAATCATGCTACTCGAAGGGAAAGATAGATCCAACTCTTTTCACCAAGCGAGAGAACAGTGACATCATGCTGATACAAATCTATGTGGATGACATCATATTCGCATCATCAAATCCGAACTTCTGCGAAGAATTCAGCAACTTGATGCGCATTGAGTTTGAAATGAGTATGATGGGAGAGTTGAACTTCTTTCTAGGGCTTCAGATCAAGCAAATGCCGGACGGAATATTCATCAAGCAGTCAAAGTACATCCACGACATGCTCAAGATGTGACACTCCGAAAATTAAAATAAAAATAAAATAAAATAATAATATTAATGAGATCAAATAAAATTTTGACATACGATAAGAGTGACATTTTGAAAGATTATTAGTGAAATAATATATACATATGCTTATAGCACAACTATATAAGACACCTAATATACGAAGTATATGATACGGATTATACATACACTACTTACATATATACATAACGATGTAATAATAATAATAGTGTAAAAATTTTGACTTTCCAATAGGACCAATACTCATGTGTAAACCCAATGCGTAATTAATTGGGTATAGGAATTTTGGGCCGACCGGACTTTTAGTCTGTATATGCGATCTATACATCTGCACCGGCTCAGCTTCACATGGGATGGATATGAAACGCACGAAACCCTAAAAGCTAGAACCTTCCTGTCTACGTGTATATATATACCTCTTTACGATCGAAAACTTGTGTACAGCGTACTATACAACCAATATACATACGAAGCCAAACTTTTAAAACGTGTCGTACACGAGTTACGTCCTGCGAAGGGAGAAACGAAAAAAAAAGCGAGAACGATGATAGAAAGATCAACGTCCCAGGGTTGGCGGACTGCGTTTCAAGACGGATCTAGCTGCCGTTATCATCGCCGGACCGAACTGCTGTTGCACGGACTGAAGTACGTCCTACCATTGAGCGTTACGTACGCCGGAAGATAAGGAACGAACGTCGGGGTTACGCTGCAGAACCTACACCGGATTTCTTCACCACCCAGAACTGCGCATGGCCGGAGAAGATGATACGAACTACGCCGGAACGGAAGAACCCCCAGAGTACCGTTTAATTGTCGCTGGAGAATTAAGAAGGGTCGGTGGAGGTGTTTGACCTGCTGCCGACGGAACTGACTGCTGCCGCTGAGACACCGCCACCACCGTTGGAGGGTAGAGTCGATGCCGACCGAGAGCTATGCATGAAGAAGACGATCTTTGATGCGTATGTATGCTCTGCCGTTTATTTGACATAAATTATACCATTGGGGTGGATTATTTGGACAAATACGAGTTGAGTTAAAATAATAAAATAAACTGGACCAGGTTGCTAGATTAGAATGGACCGACTAAATTGACACTACTCTTGTGACACCGCACCCGAATGTCCTTGGAAATTTGATTTGAATATTCATAGCTTATGTATTGGATTTCCGATTCCCAAACATTTTGTAAAACGATCAATGTTCTACGTAGTGCATGGTTGAATATCGTACTGTTCAAACTCGTACATTAGTGTCGGGTTTCGCAAATACTTACTCGGGACTTATTAATAAATAAAAAGGCACAACATTTCCAAAATAGTGAAAGAATGATTAAAGGAGAATACAAATGTCTATAACCCCATCTTTGGCATTATTGAGCTAAATAATGGGAGTAGGATTTTCCTTCTAAAATATCCATCAAGTAAATTATTGGGATGAGCCTACACATATTGGAGATCAATAATGTGATTTAGGAAGTTGACTTGTTCTAAATAAATTAGGATGAGTACAAAAAGACATCTTTGACAAAGATAAAACAATAGGACCCATCTTCCCATTTTTGGAAGTATTGGTAGATATTTTGGACCCCAAATTTAATGGGATCAATTGGGAACCACTCCACATGATATTAGTACCTGCAAAACAAATAAAAATGGGTTAGAAGACCTACCTTGGCCGGCCATAATGGAGGGGAGCTGCACATGACTTGATAGGAATCAAAGCTTGGGCCACCATCCTTATTTTCGCACAAATTGGTGTGCTGTTTGTCTCCTCTCATTATAGAAGCTATACTCGACCAAACAACGTGAATAATATGTCCTTGGATAGCCTTTGAAGTCTATTATCTCAATTGAGTGGTCTTTGTTCGAGGAGAAAAGGCTTATCTTACAAAAATCGAGCTGGAACGAGCAGAGGTCTGTGAACTCGAGCTGTGAGAGTGCTGAGACTGTTTGGTCGATATCTCGAGTTTTACAAATCCAATTAAGGCGTGTGAGATACCCACAGAAAGCTCTCAAGACGAGGAATCCGTGAAGGTCTGGTTTGCAGGAATCGGAGTTGTAGAAGGCTTCCAAATCGTCCGAGCAAAACACAACCTCGCAGGAGAGGATTTAATCTTCTAAAAGTGAGTTTTAACCCCAAAACTTTACTTTTCATTTTCCAAATGATATGAACGATTGGTGGGACTATCATACACTAACCCAAGTGTATAATATGTCCTTATAAAGTTATTTTATTGATGTAAAGGTTAGATACTAACCTAGAACAAATCTTGGAAAAACTAGGAAACGAGTTGACCGGGAAACACCCGTTCTAGGGGCTGTTTTCGTATCAACAATTAAGGGTTGAACTAGCACTTTGAGGAGGCTGGTTAACACTCATATTTGAGCAAGGAATCAGTTCCAAATCCACCTTGACCAAAGCTTTGACCATTGGACCAAGAAGGGAAAGTTTAAAGCTCAATTGAGGTGAGGATTGACATCTAATTGCTTACAACTTGTAGGTTAAGCATGAGATTACCTAAATGCTTAAATCATTATTTTTCATGGATTATGATGATCATATATTGATGAAATATTGATATAGTTGCCAAGAAATGAAATTTGAAATGATTTGAGAATGTATGAATAATATGAGATTTAATGAGTATAAATGAACTATCTTTGCGAAATAGGTATTTTGCTCATGTATGAAGTATTTGGATACATAAATGAATATTTGTGTATTGAGATTGAATACTTATGTTGCTGCTACATAATTATAATTATGTAGAGAATTACAAATAAAGAGGATAGTGGTATGATAACAATAATCTTAATAGTATTGAAATACTAGTTAGTGATTATTGGAACTTGTTGATGGAATTGATCCTAGGGATTGGATTGTATGAAAGGTACTTGAATATAGTTCAAGTGTATATAATAACTTAGTATGGAACTAAGGTTAGGTTATGGGAAGTCTTTAAGGATGACCCATGGCAGTTTAATGATATGTCAATTCTAGGCATAGGGTTGCTTGAGAATTGGACCTTAATGCATGGTGATGTAGTAGAGCCGAGCTCTAGAATGCATGTAAGGTGTAGACTTGTAGTCTATGTATTGTATAGCTAGAGCCGAGCTCTAGGGCTTGCGTGGTGATGTAATAGAGCCGAGCTCTAGAACGCAAGGTAAGGAATTGACCCGAGTGACATGAATTGTATGGTGATGTAGTAGAGCCGAGCTCTAGAATACAATGTCATGTGTTAGGGTTGGACTCTATTGAGTATCGTGGCTTGTAGTCACGGGGAATGGGAATGGTGATTTCTAAATGAACATGGGCCCACGGGCTGACTACTTGACTTTTACCTAAAGTAAGTATATTTTCAAATGGGTAACTTAGGGTTACAATCATAATATACTATCACCCTATTTGAGGGTCTTGTGCTTGAAATACTTGTTGTATATCTATTAGATGCCTGCCACACCAGTACTTTATAGCCGTATAGAGTACTGACCCCTTCGGGGGCGTCCCACCACCATTTCAGGTTGAGGCTAGAGCTTGCTCCCTGTGCTCGTTGTCCGAGTGATTTCCCCGGAGAGAAGACTTGGTTCGTGCTTCCTCCATTCTGTTTTAGAACATTAATAAACATGCTCATGGATATTTTACTTTAGAGCCTGCGTGCTCATGTTTGCCCTGTGTGGCCCTTTTGTTTTAAACCATGTTTTCCGCTGCATATTCAATTGTTTATTATGTATGTTTATGGATGACCTATGTGTGAATGATATTCATGACGCCTTGTATAATATGAATGTGTTGGACTGCGGTTGACTATTCGTATTGTACGGCGGGTTGTTGACGTGTCCGGAGAGGTCCGGGGCGTGACAATTAAGTTGGTATCAGAGCCTTAGTCCATAAACTTCATAATGAAGTCTCAAAATTCTCTTTTTGAAAAGATTTTGAAAACCATGAGCATAGAAGTTTTGTACTTGGAGAGCTTTTGGTACTTGGGTTGCAAGGTCTCTAATTGTTAAGATGGTACCCTTAGCAATTGGTATGGCGGTGACTCGAGCCAAAATGTGTCTTAAGTACCTATCTGTCAATTGACATTTGATACGAGTCTAACGACTCCTTCCAAATTTCTTTCAGAAATGGACCGTGGTGGCAGGATTACTAGGAGAAACCCGACGGGTCGTGTACCAGTGGAGACTGGACAGGGCAGTCGAAGGACCTCTAGGGCATCTAGAGGAGCTGGCCGTGGAGGCCGATCACAGACCGTGAGTGACGGTCATGTCGACACGGAAAGTGAAACCTACTGGTCCTATGAGGACTCGACCTATCGACCGGAAACTGAACCGGTTGAGACCCCTTATGAAGGGGATGATGATGATGTAAGTGATGAGGAGGAAAATGGCTCCTTAGCACGGATTGAAGCACTACTTCAACAGTACCACCGTGAGCGTGAGGAGAGGAGGGAACGCCGAAGGCGCCGGGCTGGGCAACCTTCGGGCGGGGCTTCAAGAGGGAGAAGCCATGGCGACTCTAGGGCCCACATTGAACCACATGGGGGCCGGGGTGATGGAGGTCCAATCATAAGGATCTCCAAATACATCAAAGAGGCACGAGACTTGGGGTGCAAACCGTTCGATGGGACGGGTGACATCTCCGTTTCGGCACAATGGATTAAGCGGCTGAATGAGGCAGCCCTGGACATGCAACTCACCCCCGAATATAAACTAAGGGTTGCGGTGAGATTGCTTGAAGGTATGGCATCCAAGTGGTGGGATGGGACCAAAGGCAAATATGGCGAGACCGTCACTTGGGAGAATTTCCGACAGGAATTCTTTGCCCAATATTACTCGGATTTTGAGGTGAACAAGAAAGTGAGGGAATACACCCTTCTAACCCAAGGGGGTAACATGACGGTGAGGGAACTTGAGTACAAGTTCAGGGATCTTGCCGATTACATACCTGAGTATGCCTGTGACGAAAACCGGATGGTGAACCACTTCTGGGATGCTCTAGACTTGGAGATACGTGACAGGGCAACACAATTGCCTAACATGACGTTTGCTCAAGTGGTTGACCAAGGGTTGAAAGGAGAGAAGCAATGGGAAGAAAGGAAGAAGAGAGACGTCGAGGAGGCGAAAAAGAGAAAGTGGGAGAGTCATGGCTCCCAAGGTTCCAACAAAAAGGGGAACCACGGAGGAGGATCTTTCCGGGAACCACCGCCACCATCTAGGGGGAACCAAGGCCCGAGTGGACAAGGCGCGAGGTCACAGACCTCAGTGGTAACTCGTTGCAACAATTGCAAGAGGAACCATTCCGGTAAATGTCGCGACCCCCCTAGATGTTTCCAATGTGGGGATGCCGGGCATTTGAAGGCACATTGCCCACAACTGGGCGGGGCAAGGACATCGGGACCAAGTAGTGGCCCGACGGGTACACGGAATCAGACCGGGGCTTCTCAAGCAAGCAGGGGGCAAGGGGGAGCAAGTGCGAGCAACGCGCCATCCGTGAACCAAGGGAGGACCCAGGCTAGGGTCTATGCGATGACGGAGGCGGATGCTCAAGCTAACCCGGACTCCGTCGCAGGTATTGCCTCTCATATACTAGTGTTTTATCCTTAATTAGTCCATAAATTGAGGATACTAATCGCTAGGATCATTGCACGAGGTTTTGGGGTCGAACCGGGGGATTTCGGGCAACTTCAGGCGGCTGGGACCCAGGCACGATCGTGCCTAAGGCAGACACGATCGTGCCTCCAAGTCAGTGGCTGCCCAGAAATATTCCCAGCCCAGGCACGATCGTGCCTAAGTCAGACACGATCGTGCCTACAAGGCAGTAGCTGCCCAGGGTTTTTTTTTTCTCCAAACCAGGCACGATCGTGCCTAAGGCAGACACGATCGTGCCTCCAAGTCAGTGGTTCCCAGGATTTTTCCAACCCAGGCACGATCGTGCCTAAGGCAGACACGATCGTGCCTCCAAGGCAGTAGCCCCAGGGCGTTTTCCTGAGCCAGGCACGATCGTGCCTACCCCGGGCACGCCGTGCCTGGCACCCAGATTGCCGAAACCCGATTTTTTCGCATCGTTTTGCGACGTTAAGGCCTCTTCTTGATCCCTAACGTGCGTGTGAACATTGCAACCTTCTATAAATGAGTAGGGAGGGTAGGAAAGATGTCTTACATGGTTCATGAATGTAGGGACACTAAAGATTAACGGGAAGGATGCACGAATCCTTATCGATACCGGAGCGCAACGTTCATTCGTGAGTGAGGCGTTTGCCGAGAGCTTAGAGATGCAATCAATACCAATGACACAAACCTTAGTGGTATCAACCCCACTAGGGGAAGACGTTGAAAGAAACAATTACTATCCATCTTGTATGGTGGAAATCGGTGGCCAAACCTTGACGTGTGATTTCGTACCGCTGAGTATGATGGAGTTCGATGCAATCCTAGGGATGGATTGGCTAGAAAAGCATCATGCTAGGGTAGATTGCTACACAAAGGTGTTGGAACTCGAAGGCACACAGGGGGACACCCTACGCTTCGAGGGGGACCGCGGCAAATCAAATAGTTGTATCATATCCGACGTGAGAGCGAGAAATATGATGAGGAGGGGATGCCACGCATATCTAGCATACGTGGTTGATAAAACCAAAGAGGAAACGGACATCGATGATGTGAGGGTGGTTTGTAAGTATCCGGATGTCTTCCCTAAAGACCTACCGGGGCTTCCACCTGACAGAGAGATTGAATTTGTGATCGAGGTCGAGCCTGGTACCAAACCAATCTCCATACCGCCATACCGGATGGCACCCGCTGAACTTAACGAGTTGAAAACCCAATTGCAAGAGCTTTTGGATAACGGTTTCATTAGACCAAGCCACTCCCCGTGGGGAGCACCGGTTCTTTTTGTGAAAAAGAAAGATGGGACACTTCGAATGTGCATTGACTATCGTCAACTGAACAAGGTCACAATCAAGAATAGGTATCCGTTGCCTAGGATTGATGACTTGTTTGATCAACTACGAGGAGCAACCGTGTTTTCGAAGATTGACTTAAGGTCGGGGTACCATCAATTGAAGATTAAGGAAGATGACATACCAAAGAGTGCTTTCCGCACAAGGTATGGGCATTTTGAGTTCCTTGTTATGTCGTTTGGGTTAACAAACGCCCCGGCGGCATTCATGGACTTGATGAACCGAGTATTCCATAAATACTTGGATCGATTCGTGATTGTGTTCATAGATGACATCTTGATTTACTCAAAGAGTGAAGAAGAGCATGAGGAGCACTTGATACTTGTTCTTGAAACACTACGGGAGAAGCAACTCTATGCCAAATTTTCTAAATGTGAATTTTGGCTAAAGGAGATTGGCTTCCTCGGGCACGTGGTTTCGGGATCGGGGATTGCTGTTGATAACAAGAAGATAGAAGCCATTACTGAATGGGAGAGGCCAAAGAACGTCAAGGAAATTCGTAGTTTCCTTGGATTGGCAGGCTACTATAGAAAGTTCGTGGAGAAGTTCTCTGTTTTGGCATCGCCATTGACGAAGCTCACTCGTAAAGGAGCTAAGTTTGTATGGGATGACAAATGTGAGAAAGGGTTCATGGAACTAAAGAAGAGATTGACTGAGGCACCGGTACTTGCATTACCCAAACAAGGTGTGGGGTACGATGTCTATAGCGACGCGAGCATCCAAGGGTTTGGATGCGTGTTGATGCAGAATGGGAGGGTAATCGCCTATGCTTCACGACAGTTGAAGAAGCACGAGGTGAATTATCCTACTCATGACTTGGAGCTGGGGGCTGTGGTGTTTGCACTGAAGATATGGAGACATTATCTCTACGGGGAGACATGTCACATATACACTGATCACAAGAGCTTGAAATATGTGTTTACTCAGAAGGAGCTAAACATGAGACAGAGACGGTGGATGGAGTTGATAAAAGACTACCATCTAGTGATAGAGTATCACCCAGGCAAGGCAAACGTGGTGGCAGATGCCTTGAGCCGGAAGAGCTCGTCTGGGGCATTGCTAGCTAATTTGAGGGCATTAAGAGCCCAACTGGAGGTATCTAGCGATGGTGCCTTATTGGCACGATTTGAGGTGAGACCTACCTTACTTGATGAGATCAAGAAGGGTCAGGAAGCTGACGAAGAAATTATGAAGATCCGGGAACGCATGCAAGCGGGACCGGTGGAAGATTTCAGGGAAAGAGATGATGGTCTCTTGTTATTTCGTGACCGAGTGTGTGTACCGTCAGATGATGAGCTCCGAAAGTCCATCTTAGAGGAGGCTCATTCATCGGCTTATGCCATGCACCCGGGGGGCACGAAAATGTACCGTGACTTGAAAGAAAGTTACTGGTGGTCTGGAATGAAGAGGGAAATAGCCGAATACATTAGTCGATGCCTTACTTGTCAACAAGTTAAGGCAGAACATCAGCATCCAGCAGGCTTGTTACAACCACTTTCCATTCCTGAGTGGAAGTGGGAACATGTGACTATGGATTTCGTGGTAGGTTTACCACGGACAATTCGGAACTACGATGCGGTTTGGGTTGTTGTGGATAGGCTCACAAAGAGTGCACACTTCTTGCCTATCAACACTACCTACCCACTTGAGAGGTTAGCCAAACTGTACACGGATGAGATCGTGAGGCTACATGGGGTTCCAGTGACCATTGTATCCGATAGAGACCCACGATTCACATCACGTTTTTGGCCGAAATTTCAGGAATCTATGGGAACGAGGTTGAAGTTCAGTACTGCTTTCCATCCACAGACGGATGGGCAGTCTGAAAGAGTTATACAAATCTTAGAAGACATGCTGAGGGCTTGTGCACTAGAGTTCCAAGGAAGTTGGGACAACCACTTAGCACTTGTGGAGTTTGCTTATAACAACAGTTATCAGGCAAGCATCGGCATGCCTCCATACGAGGCATTGTATGGGAGGAGATGTCGTACACCGTTATGCTGGGACGAGGTTGGCATGGCCAAACTCGAGGGTACTGAGTTGGTTGAGATCACCAAATCAAAGGTGAAGTTGATTCGAGAGAGACTCAAAGCGGCTCAGGATAGACAAAAGAGTTATGCAGATAAACGTCGACGAACCTTAGAGTTTAAGGTTGATGACGAGGTATTCTTGAAAGTTTCTCCTTGGAAAGGAATCATTCGATTTCAAACCCGAGGAAAACTTAACCCACGATATATAGGTCCATTCAGAATTATAGAGAGGGTTGGGGCCGTAGCCTATCGTCTACAGTTGACTCCTGAGTTGGAGAAGATTCACAATGTGTTTCATGTATCCATGCTTAAGAAGTATGTGCATGATCCCTCTCACGTATTGGAGAAGCCACCTGTAGAGGTACGTGAGGATTTGAACTACTCTGTTCAACCTATCAAGGTCACCGATAGAAAGGTGAAGAAACTGAGGAGCAAGGAAGTCCCAATGGTTAAAGTCCTGTGGAAGAGCGATCGGGTCGAAGAAGAGACATGGGAAACAGAGGCTTTGATGAGGAAGCAGTATGCTTTCCTATTCGAGTAGAGCTGTGAATTTCGGGGACGAAATTCCTGTTAAGGGGGGGTGAACTTGTGACACCGCACCCGAATGTCCTTGGAAATTTGATTTGAATATTCATAGCTTATGTATTGGATTTCCGATTCCCAAACATTTTGTAAAACGATCAATGTTCTACATAGTGCATGGTTGAATATCGTACTGTTCAAACTCGTACATTAGTGTCGGGTTTCGCAAATACTTACTCGGGACTTATTAATAAATAAAAAGGCCCAACATTTCCAAAATAGTGAAAGAATGATAAAAGGAGAATACAAATGTCTATAACCCCATCTTTGGCATTATTGAGCTAAATAATGGGAGTAGGATTTTCCTTCTAAAATATCCATCAAGTAAATTATTGGGATGAGCCTACACATATTGGAGATCAATAATGTGATTTAGGAAGTTGACTTGTTCTAAATAAATTAGGATGAGTACAAAAAGACATCTTTGACAAAGATAAAACAATAGGACCCATCTTCCCATTTTTGGAAGTATTGGTAGATATTTTGGACCCCAAATTTAATGGGATCAATTGGGAACCACTCCACATGATATTAGTACCTGCAAAACAAATAAAAATGGGTTAGAAGACCTACCTTGGCCGGCCATAATGGAGGGGAGCTGCACATGACTTGATAGGAATCAAAGCTTGGGCCACCATCCTTATTTTCGCACAAATTGGTGTGCTGTTTGTCTCCTCTCATTATAGAAGCTATACTCGACCAAACAACGTGAATAATATGTCCTTGGATAGCCTTTGAAGTCTATTATCTCAATTGAGTGGTCTTTGTTCGAGGAGAGAAGGCTTATCTTACAAAAATCGAGCTGGAACGAGCAGAGGTCTGTGAACTCGAGCTGTGAGAGTGCTGAGACTGTTTGGTCGATATCTCGAGTTTTACAAATCCAATTAAGGCGTGTGAGATACCCACAGAAAGCTCTCAAGACGAGGAATCCGTGAAGGTCTGGTTTGCAGGAATCGGAGTTGTAGAAGGCTTCCAAATCGTCCGAGCAAAACACAACCTCGCAGGAGAGGATTTAATCTTCTAAAAGTGAGTTTTAACCCCAAAACTTTACTTTTCATTTTCCAAATGATATGAACGATTGGTGGGACTATCATACACTAACCCAAGTGTATAATATGTCCTTATAAAGTTATTTTATTGATGTAAAGGTTAGATACTAACCTAGAACAAATCTTGGAAAAACTAGGAAACGAGTTGACCGGGAAACACCCGTTCTAGGGGCTGTTTTCGTATCAACAATTAAGGGTTGAACTAGCACTTTGAGGAGGCTGGTTAACACTCATATTTGAGCAAGGAATCAGTTCCAAATCCACCTTGACCAAAGCTTTGACCATTGGACCAAGAAGGGAAAGTTTAAAGCTCAATTGAGGTGAGGATTGACATCTAATTGCTTACAACTTGTAGGTTAAGCATGAGATTACCTAAATGCTTAAATCATTATTTTTCATGGATTATGATGATCATATATTGATGAAATATTGATATAGTTGCCAAGAAATGAAATTTGAAATGATTTGAGAATGTATGAATAATATGAGATTTAATGAGTATAAATGAACTATCTTTGCGAAATAGGTATTTTGCTCATGTATGAAGTATTTGGATACATAAATGAATATTTGTGTATTGAGATTGAATACTTATGTTGCTGCTACATAATTATAATTATGTAGAGAATTACAAATAAAGAGGATAGTGGTATGATAACAATAATCTTAATAGTATTGAAATACTAGTTAGTGATTATTGGAACTTGTTGATGGAATTGATCCTAGGGATTGGATTGTATGAAAGGTACTTGAATATAGTTCAAGTGTATATAATAACTTAGTATGGAACTAAGGTTAGGTTATGGGAAGTCTTTAAGGATGACCCATGGCAGTTTAATGATATGTCAATTCTAGGCATAGGGTTGCTTGAGAATTGGACCTTAATGCATGGTGATGTAGTAGAGCCGAGCTCTAGAATGCATGTAAGGTGTAGACTTGTAGTCTATGTATTGTATAGCTAGAGCCGAGCTCTAGGGCTTGCGTGGTGATGTAATAGAGCCGAGCTCTAGAACGCAAGGTAAGGAATTGACCCGAGTGACATGAATTGTATGGTGATGTAGTAGAGCCGAGCTCTAGAATACAATGTCATGTGTTAGGGTTGGACTCTATTGAGTATCGTGGCTTGTAGTCACGGGGAATGGGAATGGTGATTTCTAAATGAACATGGGCCCACGGGCTGACTACTTGACTTTTACCTAAAGTAAGTATATTTTCAAATGGGTAACTTAGGGTTACAATCATAATATACTATCACCCTATTTGAGGGTCTTGTGCTTGAAATACTTGTTGTATATCTATTAGATGCCTGCCACACCAGTACTTTATAGCCGTATAGAGTACTGACCCCTTCGGGGGCGTCCCACCACCATTTCAGGTTGAGGCTAGAGCTTGCTCCCTGTGCTCGTTGTCCGAGTGATTTCCCCGGAGAGAAGACTTGGTTCGTGCTTCCTCCATTCTGTTTTAGAACATTAATAAACATGCTCATGGATATTTTACTTTAGAGCCTGCGTGCTCATGTTTGCCCTGTGTGGCCCTTTTGTTTTAAACCATGTTTTCCGCTGCATATTCAATTGTTTATTATGTATGTTTATGGATGACCTATGTGTGAATGATATTCATGACGCCTTGTATAATATGAATGTGTTGGACTGCGGTTGACTATTCGTATTGTACGGCGGGTTGTTGACGTGTCCGGAGAGGTCCGGGGCGTGACAACTCTTGTCATCTTATGGACCATCTAATAAAGCACACTAGTCAAATAATTACATGGATTTAAAATGAAATCATGAGCTGATTTAATTGATCGATTGGTATAAATGATTAATTGTGAATAAACTTAAAATTTGTGGATACACTATAAATAAAATGGATTACAATGAATTAGATGGATTATTAGTTTAAAGTGATAAAATTACTAAGTCGATAAGATATTGATTTCTAAATTTTAATAGAAGGCCATTCTTTGTGAGGAGCAAAGTAGGAGAATTGACTAGAGAGTACTTGGAGTTTGAGGTAAGTTCTACATCAACCAAAATTATACTTTTCCTCGTAAATATATATATGATTATTTATTTGAAATTATTTGAGTACTTTGTGAGATTTCTAGCATTTACAATTATACTTCGTATTTGAGTATTTAGAATTATTTATGGATTGTTATTGAGGATTATATTTGAGATTTGAGTATTGAATATTGTGTGATATTTTTTGAGTATTTGAAGTTATGTATTAATCATTATTGGGATTGAGATTTGAGCTATTTATGGAGTATTCTATATTTTAATCATGTTGGGAATTTTCGAGTTTAAAGGATCGATTAACCCTTATTTTGGAAATTTATGTCTATGTATAATATGTGATGCATTGTTGAATAACTTTGGGAAAATTACGTGAGTAGTAATCCCTGAATTTTTGGAAAATAATAAAGATAAAATGAACCTTTCAATGTAAGGGCATCACGGGAGAAATCTGGGATGTCGGTGTCCTCCACGACCTTGACTGTGGAGAGTGATTAGGACTGCTATTACTTGTTGGGATTTGGTGTCCACGACCTTGACTGTGGAGATTGGTGGTTGTTTATTGTATTTAAAATTCGGGCAAAAGACCCTATTATTCAGTAGTAGCAGTAACCTAGTCACTTATATAGGGTAATCCCTTTTTGGTGGAGTAGGGGGACGTTGACGTCCGAACTACTTGGACTTCTTACTACTCGGAGGGCTTGGAATCCCTTTTAGAGGGTGTGCACACTTAAGGTAGAGGTTCAGTTTCCTCAGGTTAGAAGTGGTACCGGCAAAAGTCCAGGGGTGGCCGTACATAACAACGGACCATCGGGCTCAATAAAATGTTGAGCACCGCCCTTCAAATGTATTAGGAGTACAAATTATATTCGGATTGATGTTTTGAGGTTTTGAGGAGAATTATATTTGAATGGAATGGATTTGAGTTGTTGGATTGAATTATCAAATTATTGTGGAATTTCAAGTACAAATACTTTTGGATTTATTTTGGTTTGATTATGCTAATATTGATTATGAGTGTTTGGAATTATTTTGAGAATGATTTTGGTACTTTATGTACATTTGGTATGTTGTAATTATTGTGGCTTGGAAATATTTAATTATATTTGAAGTACTATTATTTTACTCGTGAATTGTGTTATGAGAAGATTTTACAAATTGTTTTAAAAAAAATTTTCCTGCCAAATGTTTTTTTTTTCAAAAATATTAAATTTATATTTTTTTATGGGGTTAGGTGGAACTTACTTAGCATTGTTGCTAATTTTTGTTTTCTTTTATTTTTCTTTCTGTACATGATTTTGTACAGGTAATGCTTTGGTGATGATGTTGATATCGAGAGAGCTTCCGCTAGAGAAAATGTAATTAGTAGATAACATTGTAGTTTAATTAAATTTTCAAGACACTTATTGAGTTTAATTGTCTGTGGTGATTAGCCTGTGCACTCGGTTAGGTTAGAGCCGAGTGTGGCGGTAACGCCCCTATTTCCCTTTTGGTTTTCCGCTGCATAACTCTGATGTTTTCGAATAAAGTTAATATTTCTTTTGAATAAAGTATTATTTTTGGGTGGGAAATTTGGGGGTGTTACACAAGAGATTCAAAATGGAAAGCAAGCTAAGTCTACCATGACAACCCCGATGTCTCCCTCACAGAAGCTCGACTCTGACCCTTCCGGGATATCAGTCGATGCCACCAACTATCGGGCTATCATTGGTTCCTTGCTGTACCTGACATCTAGTAGACCGGATATTGTCTTCGCAACCTGCCTGTGCGCTCGCTTTCAAGCAAATCCAAAGGAATCACATCTGAATGCAGTGAAAAGAATCCTAAGATACCTCAAAGGAATAGTCAACTTGGGCCTTTAGTATCCTAAGGAAACAGGTTTTGACCTTGTCGGATACACAGATGCTGATTTTGCGGGTTGCAAATTAGACAGGAAAAGTACATCCGGTGGTGCTCAATTTTTAGGAGAAAAGATAGTCTGCTGGTCCTCCAAGAAGCAGAACTGTGTGTCAACCTCTACAGCTGAAGCAGAATACGTTGCGGCTGCTAGTTATTGCTCACAAATCCTATGGATGAGGACACAGCTTAGAGACTATGGCTTTTTGTTCAACCACATCCCGATCTACAGTGACTCCCAAAGTGCAATCGCCATAACCAGTAACCCCGTTCATCACTCGCGCACCAAGCACATCGACCTGCGCTACCAGTTCATCAAGGACCATGTGGAGAAAGGAGATGTTGATTTATACTTTGTAAGCTCTGAGCTACAACTGGCTGACCTGTTCACTAAGGCGCTGGATGAAAAGAAATTCCAGTTCCTAGTATCCAAGTTAGGCATGTTGAACCTCGAGCCAATGTAATTATGTATCTCTCCGTGGTCTGAATAAAATGCGTGTGTGTGTGGTGTGCGTTGCATGTGTTGAGGGGGAGGAAAAGGGAGAAAAGAAAAGAAGAAGAGTATGTATGCTTTGTGGGGGAGAAATTCTGAAAATAAAAAAAAGAGGAGGGAGAAAACAGAAAATAACAAAAAGGGGTGAGGGAAGTTGTGTGAAAAATGAAGAAAATGCAAGAAAAAGAGTGTGTGTGTGTAGAAAAACAGAAAAGAAAGAAAAAGTGTGTGTGTGTGTGTTTTATTTTTTCTTGCACAATTCGAGGGGGAGTTTTTTTCTGATCGAGGGGAAACTACATAAATAAAAATTGGGGCCCAAAACTGTTTAAAACTGAACTGGGCCCAACTCAAACATTTGGGCCCAGATTACTTTCTCGCATGGCCCATAATTTTTTTTTCTCGCGTATAAAAGGGACTTCAAGAAAGGGAGTTCTCGCATTATCTCACTTTCTCGCATTCTACTTCTCGATGTCTCAAGTGCTTTCTCGCAATTCCTCTCTCGAACTCTCGTTTTCAGAATCAAAGGTAGTAATTCTGAAAGAAAAGGTTTTCAAAGTGGTTTTTCGCAAACAATGCAAATGTTCTCGAATCCAAACTTGAAGGAAACTTCTCGGATTGGTATATCGAGAACTAATTTTCTCGAACCAAGAACTTAGAACTCGAAAAGTTTGGATTATTAGATTTTATCATTATGTATTTTGTGAATTTGCAGGTGGTTCTCGACATTACTTTGAGTGCGAACGCGAGAAACGTAATTTCTCGATGTTTAAAACTCGAGACCAACTTCTCGATATTTCAAACTCGAGAGTCGGTTCTCGATATTAAAACCTCGAAAAGGATTTTTCGATGTTTTAATACCGAGAACCTACTTCTCGAAGGTTGAAATACCGAGAAGAGGTTCTCGATATTAAACATCGAGAAAGGTTTCTCGAAGTTTAAATCTCGAGAAGAACTTTTCGATATTCTTACCTCGAGAACCAAGTTCTCGATAAGGGAGTATCGAGAAGAGCTTCTCGGTATTTAAACCTCGAAAACCTACTTCTCGATGTTTGGTTCTCGAGGTTTACACTTAGAATACTTCTCGAGGTCCCACCTGTACTCATTTAAACTGAAAATTGCAAAAACAAAACAAAAATAGAACAAAAATAAAAAATTTCAATAAACAATGTGCTGACCCAAATCTTTCAGGTAACAATGTCAGGAACAGACAAAAGTGCACAACCAAGCAGCCAGCTGTACCCAAAGAAGAACTGGGTCCCCATCTATGACAACAATTTTCAATTGGACCTGAAGCTCTTCAAATGTCAGGACCCAGTCATACTCTCCATTCTACAGAAACGCTACCTCTGGCTTGCATTCAGTGAAGCCAAGCCTGTGCCAGAGGTATATTTACAACAGTTCTGGGGCTGCATGCACACAGCCGATGAGAAGGATAGGTCAAAGATCATGACCAAGCTGAATGATAAAAGAGTGGTGCTGACACCCTCCACTATCAGGAAGACACTGAAGCTCCCAGTGCTCAAAAGCTATGCACCACTCCCTTCCAACGAAGAGCTAATTCAAGGAATGAAAGACCTTGGATATGACAGCCCACTGCCCCTGCTGTCAAACTTCACCGTTTCAAATCTGCCCCACCCGTGGAAGAGTCTGTTCGGCTTGGTCAACAAGTGCTTGTCTCCTAAGCACGCCGGACATGACAAATGTAACAAGCAGATCCTGCAAATCTTCCACGGGATTGCTTTTGACAAGAAGTATGACATGGCCTAGCTCTTCTGGACAGAGCTGATGGATCAAGTGAAAATAAAGGAGAACAACAAGGGGAGCACTATCCCCTACGCTCGCTGGCTGGTGCTGATGATCCACAACATGATGGAAGTCACCCCTACAATCCCTAAGCGTAAGGAAGACAAGCACTTCACTGCCCCGAAGCTCAAATATTTCCAAAAGGACAAGAACAAGGCTGAAGCACTGCCTATCCTGGACTCTCTACTTGATCTAGCAAACCCGAGGGACAAGGCAGTCATCGACTATAAAGAGTCGCTGAAGAGAACAGTTCCTATGGTTCAGCAAAACCCAGCTAGACCTTCCCAGGGAACTAAGCCGAGAGCCAGTGAGGGTAAGAAGAAGAGATCCCAGCCACAGAAACCAGTGGCAACCCGGCCTAATGATGATAAGTCTGCTAACTCTTCCGAGAGGACCCAGACTGCTGAGGGCCACCCCACCAATGCTGAGGACACTGCCGATGAACCATCAAGCCAGGCCCCTTCAAATAAGGCTGGTGGTGAGGCCTCCGATAGCATGACCAAGGGAAATGAGCGGTTTGATG